GCGAAGTTATTTTACAGAACAATTGAAACCACTTCAATGGCAGACGTGTCATTTAACTTATTTTAAGTCGATGTACCATCACAAGGGTCTTGGAAATATATTATGAAGGTTGAAAACCTACATAGTGTTACTTTAAAGCGTCTTTGGTGTTTCCATGGTTTCTACAAAATAAATCTACGGTAATCCGGGTATGATGTCATTGATAGGCGACGCACAGTCACGGTCACGGATTTAAACATTTTTAGAAACATTTGGGATAATGTAATAAGTACACAAATCAACAAAATATCTAACATTGTTCTAGTGGTTTTGGGATATTTTGATCCAAAAATCTTACATAGTGTAAGGACTGGGCGAGGGTGAATCTGAAAGGACTAAATACATCCTGCTAAAGACCCAAAAAGCCTGGAATGTAAATTTACACACACACACCCACACACACACACACATCCCCCCACAAGTGAAGCCTGCTCAGGACAGAGCGTGGTTTCCAGCTACGAGACACTTTTATGACTGATTTGGAATTTGATGTTCAAGAGAAGGAAACATTTAACCAGATATATTAGATGTGTTTTTATGTGTGTCCATTTGCCCATGTCACATTGAATGTTCACAGAACTGTGGCTCTCTCTGAATTCTAACCAAGGAGGAGAAATGAATCCTGTATTCATATATATATATATATATATATATACATACATATGTATATATATATATATATATATATTATATATCCACTTAAGAATTGCATGAACAATGTATCTAAGTTCCCTATTTCATGAATTGCCTTTCTGTGGTTTGGTCTATGTTTCTCGACAACTCTAATGGGATAATGTTTCAAACTTTGCCAACTAAGGTTTAACCAAATCCATTTGTGGCAAGTTTGGTCTCGATAAACTCCAATCTTTGTTCCCCATTTGTTAATTGACATTACATTTTGCTAAACTTTGTGACACATTAGTATTTTAAGAAGTGTGAAGATTCTTCTCTTAAACAACCGACGAAATTAGGGTTTCAAATGTCTCTCTCTGGAGACAAAGAGCAATAAAACCCAAAGTCCCGCCTGTAAACTTCCAACCCTCTAATTGGCCAAGCCAACAGGAAGAGGCTGGATTTCTCCAAAAGTGATAAATGACGCTCCCCCCTCCGCTCACTCTCTTCCTCCCTTGTCCTCGTGTCATGATGTAACGTCTCGCCTCCGGGCGAGTTCTTCGCCTTTCTTTTATTTGTTTCTAGTTTAGTTTGTGTTTTTCAGTTGTAGATAAGTCTCTGTGTTTAATTCCAATCGACGATTGAAAAGAAAACCCCGTGACATATCTCTTCAGCAAATCCATCTACAAGGGACCTTTAAACGAGCGCGCGCTCGCTTTGAAGGAGAAACACGCGCACGTGACCGCGTGACGCGCCGGACCGAGCGACGCACGCGCTTCTTCACCAGCCATGCAAAGATGTAACGTTAACTCCGCATGATTTCCCCGTCGAGATCTTTATTTCCTTTTTGTTAGTCAAAGTTTTGTTTTCCGTAGTCGACTCAGTTCACTTCCACGAAGTGAAACGAACTTAGCCGAACTATTTCCCTTTGGAAATGTTACCCTAAAGACTGTAAACCTCCGTTCAACACGCGCGCCAAGCAGCCCACGTGACGCTTCCTCACACATAAAAGGACTCAGCTCACGCGGCCAGACAGGGCCGTACAGGAATGCCTCGACACACAGAGAGACCATAACATAACTTGTGCAAGTATAATCTCTTTATAGAGCTTCTAAGAAGTTTTAAGATGATGTTTCGTGTTGTAATCGGAGAGGTGAATGTCTTCCTGCCAATGAAATTCTGCCAATGTTCTCTGTTCTCTCTCTCCCCATTCTCTGTTCTCTCTCTCTTACTCGCTCACGCGTGTAAGTTATCCATTGTCCAAACTTTACGCATTTCTCGTTCATTGATGTCTTATTGTATTGTTCATTGATGTCTTTGTGTTTGTAAATACATATATCCCTTGTAACCGTAGTAAATACATAAGTAGTCATGCCTCTATTAAATTAATTATATATTCATTTGATTGATGTGCTGTCTCTTTGCTCAGTTTCAAGTCCCTTAAGTGCAAAAGATCTTATGCTACAAGCTTACTAAAATTAAAAATACCTTAAAGAGTATGTGTTGTGTTTATAGGGCGGGAAACCCAATTCTTCTGGCCAGAGAATTGCGTTTCCTGAAATCCTATAAAGTAAGATGATATTGTGGATCCCACAAATAGTATCCTGACAATTGAGCTAATTCATTTTAGCTGTTTTGTGAAACGTGGTCCGTGTAATTAATTGCAATCAACTTGTGGTTAATTTCAAGGATTCACATGCATGCAGGTAAAATGACAGATCCTCCCTTATCGGGAGATTTATTAACATGTAAGACTGGTCTAATCCAAACATGTATGAATAATTATTAATTACCAATTATTAATTATGATATGCAAATTCCCCACGGATTAGATCCGCCCATGAGTCTTTACAATAGTGTGCCTTTAATGAAAACTTTAATGGGTGGGGTGGGGGGTAGGTACCAGGACTGTTTTTTTTTAACAAAACAGGTTAGTGCTCTGTAGACAATGTGATGGCATGCCGTGCCCTAATCATTTTACTGCCCGATTTACTTTCGCAGGTATAGGACAAAAAGCTGCTGCCCTCTTGCTGGTGCGAGCGATTATGCTCTCAAAGTGCCCATCTTTTTGCTCTATCATGTAGTTTGTTGGTTTGAATAACACGCAGAATGATTTAAATGAGTGTCATAAGGATAACAGACCTGCCAGCTGCTGATTTGAAATGTTGTGAAAAGTGAATACAACTCTGCTCCTGATGGATACATTTATTTAATAAAATATTATGCTGTAGCATATTATCTTCATCAAAAGTAAATACGATAAGTAATTTATAAATTTAAATGGTTTTATTTTACATTTGCATTTTTCTTTTTCTGAATGTTTACCTTAGCTGTTAAACACCAGACAGTTTAGAAAGACATTTTGCATTATATTGCTGGTTGTCCTACTTAAAAAGGGTTTATTTTATTATTCTATTAATTTCTTGTCTTTTGTTGTTATTTGATTAGTTTGTCTTGAATAATTGCTTAATGACTTTAAAGTTAAACAATGCTTCATAAGAAATTATTAATGTCTTAATGCCATTGTTTTGATGTAATATTTATAAAAATGTAGTATATAAATTTATATAAAATAAGCAAAAGCAATATTTATATGATGTCCAGTAAAAACTTTTATTTGCATTTATTTATTTGTCTGTTTAGTTATTTTGTGAATGCATTACTCACGAAGAACTACAAATATGAATGATTATTGCTCCTTACCTTCTCTTATTGTGAGAGACGGTCCTTCGTGGTTCAACAAAGTTCAGTAATGAAGGACAGTTTCACTCGAAGCCTTTTCACTGAATCATTTTTGTGAGCGATTTTAGCTAACTGTTGCTATATCTAACTGTCGGTTCGGTTCTTGGCGCTGATTGTGGATATAGGCGGAGCTACAATATTATACGTCACCGTTTGTTTGGCCCGAGATAAAATTAGCCATTAACTGCCCAAACTTTGATTGGATGGTGTTTGATGGTTGTTTTTTTTTTTTTTTTTTATAAATGTAATTATAAACATGTAATTATAAAAAGTCCCCTAGCTAGACGTAATTTTTTCGGAACCTTTTATTTTACCCTATTCAGAGAGCACGGTTATTACTACCTGAAAAATGGCCAAATAAAATAAGAGAGGTACAAGATTCTACATAATGTCTATCCAACCAACTCCCAGATTGCAATTTTTTTGCAAAGTTGAGGAAAAAAAATATTTTACCATTGCAATCAGGTTACATCTCTTTGGGAGGACTTAAGTGGTTATCTTTCTCCTTTTATAAAATGTGATTTAAACTTTTGAAAGACACACACACATATATATATATATATATATATATTATTTTTTATTATTATTTTTTTTTTCTAGGAGTGATATGCTATTGATCTTGTTAATTTCTTTGTTGCATTGTAATTTTTTTATTCACAAAAACACATTTCTCAAGACTTTAATGTCTTTATTTCTGATATTTCCCTTAATATAAAATCTCTTTAACTCAATAACAATAAGAACAAGTTTCTGAATTATGATAATATTTTTCTTACTGGTTGTTGTTATTTGTCTATTTTTTTCTCTTTCTCTCTCTTTCTCTTTCCTTTTCATTTTGTTATTGTATTCAATGCAGTACGGTTTCTTTTTTGCCATAAAAAATAGCCATTAACGACAGAACAAAAAAAGAAAATAAAGAAACATTTATTCTTGTAAATAAACAAGGTGCCTTTGGATTCTTTTTACCTTTATGTGATAAATTGGATCAAATGGCTGGTAGTCTATCTCCGGTAAAAGTCCAAAGACAGTACAAACGAGGACACAACAACAACACCTAGTGTTAAATTATGGCCAAAGGAAAACATTTATTACTGGAACAAAACAATGTAACACAAACAATTATAGAAAACATTTCAACACTTTCACATTGTTTAATTTGGCCATTTCAAATAGTTGAAGGTCTCACTTTGTGTGCAGTACATGAACAAACTGTTCACACATTTCAAGTTTATATTCCAACATTTTATAAAGCTGTAAGTTTTATGAAACAACTGTCAAATATTAATCCAAGGGTGTGGTTGAGCAGCATTGCTGACCTGCATGCAAGCTGATTCAATTCTCTCATTAACCATTAAGCCACAAGGCTGAACAAGTAAAGTAATATCATTTCACTAAGTGCTTTTTAAAAAAACCTTTTGTGAACACAGAATGACTTTTATAAACATCTCTATTTGAAGGTCTCATTCAACATCAAACTGTCATTCAAAAGCAATACTAATATATACACAACTTCAAGACAACTGACAAGTTTCAAATTTCCTTTCTATTGAAGTGTTCATTAATAAAGCAAAGAATGAAAATGTGCCAAAAACAAAAAAAACATGCTTGTTGCCATTTCTAAAACAAACAATCACTAGAGTAATATTTCTTATCTCATCTATCATTTGTTAATTTTCTTTAAATAGACCATATAGTTCTGAAAAGGTTTTGAATAAAGAACAATTTGATTACAGTAAACATCTAATAGTTCATTAATCAGTATTAAGAAATTATACATTTTATCACAAAATTGTCTTTACATTAGCAGCGTGTTATTCAAACGACTCTTCACTGATTGTAAGGAGGACCGGATCCAAGTATATATACAAAGTGGAGGGAGAGGTACCATTAGTGCAACAAGCAATTCAAAAATAGAAAAAAATAGCAAAGAATTAAGACAATAGACAAAAGAAATCCTCTCAGAGGAGACAGGCTAGTTAAGATGATGTTAAGATGATGAACCTTCCTGTGAGGTGGCTGAAATATAAAAGTATAAGCAATTAGATATTTCGAATCAGACTTTAAAAACATACACAGATACTGATGATTTTAGCTGAACCAACCTGTCAGATCTCTAAATTTTCTTTTTGCTTCAGCTCTTTCCTCTGAATCAAAGTACCACACAGTGATTGCATACCTGTGACACAAAACAGACACTTCAGCATGCATGATGCCGAAAACATCTTGACATCGTTCTACAGCATGAAAGCGAACACATGCACTAACCTTGTAGCATACGACGGTTGAACTTCATGAGGGTTCCTACGATCTGACCAGAAAAGCAGAAGTCGATCAAACAAAGGCTCGATGTCGGCTACGTAAGATTTCCCTTCAGGAAAGATCCGTAGCAATCCCCCGTGCTCCTAAAGTGACATTTGATTAATTATCATCATCGTACAAGAAATATTTGAAAGATGACGTTGTATTTTAAAAAAGCATGACTGTGTACCTTGGCATTCCAGTTTTTATTCAGATAGTAAATACAGGTGACGCAGCGGCCATCTGCATTAGGGTTATCTACATGTTTCACGTATCCGGCTCCGTTTCCTGGATAACAAGCCACCATTGCCTGAAAAAGATGACAGATCAAACTAAGCTTGATAGATAGTCGTACATTACAACTTATCACAGCCAAGCCTTTCTAGGAAAACATGCTAACAATTAATTAGGTTATATCATATTTATACTCTAGGCATTTCTCCTCTTAAACAACCAAAGACCAGAATTAAGTTTGTAAATAAAGTTAACAAATGTTACAAAGAATGTTCTACCAAATTATACAATATTTTTGAGAGATGAACTAAAGGCACCCATACACTACAAGATAATTCTCAGGTAAAATCCCGATTATCTTGATGGTTCCACAGATTATCTTATCAGATTTTCCTGGGGTGTGAGGAGTGTTAAGAGTGACTGAATGTGCTCGGAAGAACCAAATAACATAACCATGTAGATATTAATAATACAACCTTACAAAATCACAAAAATGTGAAAAATGGCCTCTCCTTTTTTTCATAAACGCTTTAATAACAATTCTATTTGAAATTCCTTTAATATCAGATCCAATCCTCCATGTAAATCATAATTGCTTAAACCTCAGTGTATTGGCACAGCATTTGGACAAAATTATTCATAAATATTATCCTGTAAATTCAGTAGATTTATTCATACTGTTTGTGATTAATGTACTTTTTGTAGCACATCATTTGAAGTTATTGAACATTTACCTTTTTCTATTTCTTTTTGGGTTGACTTTAAAAAAGTTAATTAAGCAAAACTCTTAATTTAGAACCTTATGACATTTTACTTTGTTATCAAAACCCAAATTTTTCTGAAAAACGAAATTATATTATTAATCTTTTAATTATTTTGGCAGTTTTATTTTCATAAGACAGAAATAACTCAAAAGAAACCCTTGTATGTTACCTTTTGTAATACTGATCTCACAATATAATCTGAAACCCTTTCAAACATGAGATCACAAAACAAAAAGCTTATAAAACGATACAAATTGTAAAGCTTTTCAAATTTATGTAACTGCCCTAATATTATATAGCACTTTTTATCCCAGTATTTTTTTCTACTTTTTGTTTTTACATAAATGTTCATTCTGTTTCTGTTTCACATACTCTGAACTGTACCACAATGCCTTGTATATATAGTATATATATTTATTTATTTATTTATTGTACTTTTTACAATATTGTACTCGTCTGTGATTGAACTAAATAAATAAAAAAATAAAAAAGTCCAAACATTATTATCGCCATTTCTTCTTGTCCGTCCTCCGTCATGTTTGTTCACTCTAAAGTCACGTATGACCACGAGGGATTTTGCGAGATTTACTGTGTTCACAGTCGGAACAAAACAAAAAAAGGAACAAAACTATTTCTGAATATCTGATAAGATTTTAAAAATCTTGGTTACACTTTATTTGGTAACACTTTATTTTACAGTGTCCTTGTTCCATATGTTACATGTACTTACCATAGTAATAACAGTAAATTATGCATAATTGCATGCAACTAACCCTCAACCAAACCCTAATCCTACCCTAACCCTATAGTAAGTACATGTAGTTGCTTAATATTACTCAGTACTTAAATATATAATTATACTGTAACAATGACACCTTAAAATAAAGTGTAACCCTTTTTTTAAAAGGTATCATGTTACAGTGTAATTATATATTTAAGTACTGAGTAATATTAATTAAAAACATGTACAGGGTTTGGGTAGGATTAGGATGTGATTGAGGTTTACTGTTATTACTATGGTAAGTACATGTAACATATAACAATGACACAGTTAAATAAAGTGTTACCAAAATCTTTTAATGTAAAAGCTGATGCTTTAATATATCTATAAAATATATCCAAAGCAAAGCATCAGCTCCATCTTGGAATAATTATGAATGCAAAATCTAATATTTAAATATACTATTAGTGTTCAAAAACAAAGCACTTCATTTATCCTCTCAGCAGATCCTGGTTAGCCCTCACAAAACACACACAATGGGGACAACAGTGCCCATGTTTACATTTCTGCAGACAAGTCTTTATCATGATCACGTTCCCACAATAAAAGTGCACACGCAAGTTTAACGTCATAGCATAATATAAACATGTAGCAGCACAGAGAGCAGGAGGAAGTGTTTGCGTGCACCAGTGTGTGTGTGTGTGTGTGTGTGTGTGTGTGTGTGTACAGAGAGGGTAAAGAGAGCAAGCTTGGCCAACAGCCAGTGCACGGAGGGTTTAATGACAGTGCTACGTGTTGAGCGTGAGTCTACAGCACTACACAGACTTCAGCTGCGTACACAATCCAGAGCTCTGATTCAGACCACAGGCGCAGTCAATATGAAACCATATCAAAACACCCACTTGAGAAATATGAATACTCTATTTCCTCTTACTAACGGAGAATGATTGCACTAACCCTGTTTAAAGAATTGTAGTTAACACTTTACATTGTCATTGGTTAACATGAACTACCAATGAAAAATAGCATTAAAGCATTTATTAATCTTAGTTAATGGTAATTTCAACATTTACTAATACATTATAAATAGTAAATATAATATGTTGTTATTATTATTTTTTGGACCTGAGCTAACATGAACGAACATTGAAAATTAATAAATACTATAACAAATAAATTACTCATGGATAGTTAAAGGCAATTTGCTCCAGAAACATTTTTTGTAATGCTGGCTGAAAGCCTCTTCACATCCTGATAGTAATCAATAATAGAAGTGGTCTACATATATTTAGATGTATATGTGTGTGTATATACAGTATATAGTCTGTGGAAGGCGTAGGAGTCATAAAATGTTCGTCCAGTCATTGCAGTCGGTCCGAATGATACGATGTGCTACCTGGCTGTCAGCATATGTACTTCCATACATCCACACATCCTTCTCGAGCAGACATCACACGTCATCAGCGCGTTTCATGCTATGTAGAGTTAGACAGACGTCAGTCACTGAGCTCCGCAACCGAAACAGCAGTTCCTCCTGAGCCAAAACAACAAGCTTATGCCGCGTTCACGCCGTAACTACTGTAATTTGGAAGAGATGGAAACCTGTAACGTTTTACTCGGAGTGGTTTGTGACTCGAATTTATGCGTTTCAATGTGAACCCTATCAATGACGAAATGAATCTGCAGCAGTCATGTGGTACAAGTGCCAGTGCTCTTTAAGTTGTTTATGTTCATTATTATTGTTATGTTATTCGCTTTGAGACATGAGGTAGTTTAACGCTGTCTCTCGTGACGCTTTTGTTTGCTCCCTGCTGTGAGCGTTCATGTGTTTTGAAGGAGGTTTGGCTTTGGAGACGCTCTGAAGGGAGAGTGGGATCTTATGCTTTCAAAGCTAGCTTGCTATTGCAAGCCTCTCCGGAAATTGCCTACCTTATTTTAAAGGGTTATCACATTATATTCTAAACTGCTTCTTTTCATTATTACTGTCAAGGCTGTCTTTTTTTATGTATTATGTATTGTAGGGGTGTAACATATATCGTGTCACAATATATCACAATACAAAAATGCAACAATATGTATCGTGGATGGTGACAATATGTATTGCCTATATAGTTCACCCAAAATTAAAATTACTGTGCGAGAAAAAATTCAAGTTTACAGAGTTTTAGTGTCAGTACTACATTAAACTACTATATATAATGTTCAATATAATGTATAATAATGAAATGTGGAAATATTTGTGGGTCCTGATAATGCCAAATGTCTTGTTACCAGTAAAAAGTGGCCTACATTATTTTAAATATATCTAGTCAGTGACAGAGTGCAACCATGTTAGTCTAAAATAATTCTGTATTTTCTTTCTAGCTTCAGAATCATGAATATTTTTAGTCTGGTGTCTCTATTGTCCTGTGCATTGGGTTTTCAACACCAAGTCCAACCCTATTCATTTCCACCCAGAATGAATTACCAAATTTACTATTTTAATCAACAGTACGGTACATTTTTTGTAAACCTTTTACCATATGTCTTGGAGTATCGCATTAATATCGTATCGTGAGTTCAGTATCGCGATATGTATCGAATCGTGACATGAGGATATCGTTACACCCCTATTATATAGTGATGTCTGTAAGGTTTTGGATTGTAAAATCAGCTGACACACAAAAAAAAGTGTTTAGGGCAGCACTGAATATTTCTGCTTAATGTTTTCATTCAGTAGACTTACAAAAGAGGAAAAGCAACAAAATAAAAACAGAAAATGCAACACTTTTGAGCAAGTAAAACTCTTGTGTCCACAGCTGAAAAGTGTCCCTCAAACATCCTGTTGCTTCACTCGGGGCCTCCTGTAGCTCAATGAACACTAGTGAGAGGAGTCACGTACGGTTCACAACAGCACAAACTGAAAGCCTATCTTTGCCATTCATCAGCAGGCACAGTGAAGACTGTGAGCCAAAAGCACTCTACTGTAACTGTTCGAAACAAAGACTGAAACTAATGAGTCAGAACCTGCCCAGATGAACACACAAACTGTTGAAATAATTAAAAACATTTAATTAATCAACAAGTTGTAATAAGCACAATCTATGCTTGTGTAGACACTACCGTTCAAACGTTTGGTGTCAGTTTTTTTTTTTTTAAAGGAATTAATACTTTTATTCATTTTATTTTAAATTATCAAGGTTACAATAAAGTATTTTACATTGTTACAAAAAAATATATTTCAAATAAATGCAGTTTTGTTTTTAAAACTTAGAACCCTTTAAATGCATCATGGTTTCCACACAAACATTTAGTAGTACAAACTTTTAAATGGTAGTGTATATATTAATTTTACCAAGAAGTGGTATTACATTTATTATTTGAAAAATTAATGCAATCTTAAAAGTCATATAGCAAACATTCTACTGCTTGGTACTTCATGTACATTCCTAAACAAATTTCCAACTATTTGAATGTACATTAATGACCAATTTAATTTTAAGGATGCTTATTATATTTTAAATAATAATAAATATGAACATCTTCAAATCCAAATTCAAGTACATGTCCCAACTATCTGACTATAAATAAACAATATATAATTCATATAGTTATGCTCAAAAGTTGTACATTTCTAAAAGTAAACTGACGTAAAATGTACATGTTAATAGTTAATGTAATGTTGTAGTCTACATTAAAAAGATGAATCAAAGTTTCATAACATTTTGAAGATACATTTATAATCTGTTAAGAATTATACAAAAAGGTTATTAATGAAAGTTAGTGTAATCAATTAATGACATTCTTAGTTTAAAAGCACTTTAAAGAGCAATAAGGCTTAGCCTACCTTTGACCTTGCACGAATACTTTTGCCGAGTTGACCCACACATAAAGAAATGAGTTTGTCTATGAGTGTTAATAAGAAGTTGACAGCCTCCGTGCCCCTCTCGGTCCCGTTAACCCATGTTATTTTATCCCCTCTGATGTTCCTTCGGGAAACTCCATTGCTTCGCCCGGCCAGCTGCCCATCGTTGAGAAGCCCACAGCAATGCATGCGTTTGACCTGACCCAGAACCATGTGTCCCGCGATGTCCCCCAGAAAATGATCCACGTAAAAGAATCCTCTGTCCAACAGAGCCGGCACCACTTGCTCGGCAGCCAAAGTCTCCAACTGCGTGTCCAGTGCAAGCTGAAGAAACGGCATTTTATCCTGAGCTTGGTGCATTCAAATCAAAGGAAGTTTTTTAAAGTGATATCTAATGGCACATCCTCGTCCTTCAAAAGACGGATAAATAATGGCACATGCAGAAGATATGGTCTGTTGGTGGGCTCTGCTCTGCTCTTATGATCGCTCTGTGTGAGGGACCATCACGAGCGCGAGACTATCCGAGCGCACCTGAAGCGCATGTGGAACGTGCAGAATGTGTGTCGCGCTTATGGGCGGATGTTCACATGAAACCCCATTCAGTGAGCTTCTGTTCAACAAATGGGGCTGGACAATACATGTTTCCTACGACTCTAGAGCTATCATCCTTCAGGGGGCGCAAGGCGGCTCACAACCCCGAATTAGCCATTCAGCCGCGTACAAATCTCAGGATATTTTTGTCTTATTGGAAACTTTTGTATTCTTTAAAGTGTAATATTTTTAAATATCAATTTAATAGATTGGAACCTGGCATACAAATAGAAATCTTTCACTGAAATCGCTATAAAATGAGTTTGATTGAACCATCCTGAACAACGCTGAGAAAAGGAACGAACACCACGTGATAACAACGCCTACGTGCTACTTCAGAAGTAGCCTGCCCTACACTGCAACATAATTCACAGATGAACAATGACACAGAGAAATCCATTGATTTGAAAATACGTGATTCTGTGATGATCAACCAATAAGGAAGTAACAACTCGCGTTATTAGGCTACTCTAGATAAATAGAATAGAATAGGCTATAGGCTATATAAAGGTACAAGATTATTGCAGAAATGACTCGTATAAACCACACACATTCGCACACAATTTCTTTCTCTTCTTTGCACTTCACCTCTGCTGTAGTTTGTTTCATAATCTAGGCTTTCTGAAAAATCTGGCACTGTAGCCTTACTGTAGGCTACTATTATTGTTACTTTTTAGGCTCTGTGACGAATAGCTTGTTCGTCAATTTAAAAAAAAAATGTAAATGTAAATAAATGCTAATTGAAAAATAAAATAGAAACAAATATCAGAATAAATACGTTTTAGAAAATAAATGAATGAATTAGTAATAAAAAAGATTATTTAAACTGATTTTTTTGAATATATATGATGCATTTGATCAGACGCCAGTGATTAGTTTATAATTAAATGTATAACTATGGATATTTTTCTGACCAAAAACGCATCACTTTGCTTCAGAAGGCCTTTATTAACCCCCTGGAGACGTATGGATTTGCCTACTTTTATGATGGCTGGATGCACTTTTTTTTGCAAAATATAAGGTACCATTCACTCCCATTATAAAGCTTGGAAAAGTAATATAGCCTGCACCTATGGCTTGAAGCTGAGTAAATTATGGGATAAAAAATTTTCTTTGGTGAACTAACCCTTTATTGTGTTTTTGAATTGTTCGGCTGACGAAACACTGCAAAAATATCTTTCTGATGCCATTGAAACAGGCGATGATCCCTCACAGCCTGGCTTTCACCTTTCATATCGTAGCCTACGTGACAAGGTCCAGGCACGTTAAGCCCCGCCCAGTTAAGAACCCGCTTCACACTGAGTCCCATTCTACCGCAGTGTTGTTTTTCAATGAGTTCAACCCCACTGTGCTGAATGCTGATTTACAGTGTGTCTGTAGGCGCAACATGACATCATGACTTTGCGTAAACATACACGCCACTTTCAATTCAAGTGGCGTGTTATCTATACGCATTTTGAGCTATCCGCGTGTATGTCCACGCCGAAATCTTTTGCGTGTATGTCTACGCCATTAAACGTCCGAGTGATTCCGCGTGTATGTGTACGCCGTTAAATGTCCGAGCGAAACGAAGCAAAATCAATATATTACATCTGTGGAGCGATATTTCTTTTCCTAGGATGGTAGGAGAAGACTCATAAATGGTATTAACCCCAGTGACGGGTAGGTTTAGGGACGGGGTTGGGGTAGGTCATATATTTATATGTACATAATACAGTAATATAACGTTAAGTCAAAGGCGTTGATAAACACGCTGAAAAGCGATTATGCGTGTTGATAGCACGCCAAAAATGGAAATACGAATTGGCGTGTCATACATACGCCATTTCATGAGATCAGTCTGGTAGGCTAATGCCCAGCAGGGTCAGGCCACAGAAGGGACTCGAGACTGAAATAATGTAAATAAGGTTACCATTGCCTTTATCTCAACGACCCGTCCTATGATTAGAGTAGGTGCCAGTAGGCTACACATCGTAAGATGTTATGAGATCATTTTATGGTCATCATGCATGCCTGACCTGACTGACCGCCATTGAGGAGCCGAACAGCCGCATGTACGCGCACAAACCTGCTTTACTCTCAAATGTGAAGGGGGCTATCTCAACAACTCTTCAGTGAGATCTTTATGCACTTTTTTAAAATAAAGTTTACAAGATAGGCCTACACCAGCATCCCATCCGGTCAACTTGCAAATTTTGCATTGCAACACTTTTACGATTCATTGTCTTTCTGTTGCAAATTAAAGCATGCGACTTTATGCGTAATGTAGCAAAGTTTAGGCTACACATAGTGTAGAACTACTACACTAGTTTTAGGCTTGCCAGGTTTTGATGCTTAAGCAACTTGAGAGGTGTAATCCAGTGAGGTAAAGTTCACGAGTAACTCATCACTCACCTTGTGTCTCCCTCTGATTTTGAACTTGTCCAGTCTGCCGTCCGCGCACGTGATGAGTTTGTCCATTCGGGTCAGCAGATAGCCAATGTTTACGCAGCTGCTTTCTGTGCCATCGACCCATGCAATCTCGTCCCCTCGAATATCTTTGCTTTTGCCCAGTTTCTGGCTCACTAACTGTCCGTCCTGCATGTGTCCACTCTGATGAATGCGCCTCACCTCCTGCAGAACCCGCTCTCCGATTCTCACCCCTAGAAAATGATCCACTATACACAAACCGTATGAGTTCATGCACGGGACTATGTATTGCAAGACCAGTTTGTGTGTCTTTATGCGTTTGCGCTCATTAGATTTTGCCCGGTTACTGCGGGGGTTCCTGAGCTCTCTGGGCAGCTCCATGCGTCCACGAGTTTCACCTGAACAACTTTGCTGCTGCTGCCCTTGACGTTGGCGATCTTTTCGCATCTGTTCATCCGCAAGATTGCCTTGCTTTTCTGCCATTGCATTGAGTCCAGTGCGGCAGACGCGCAGCGCGCGCACTGGATGTCAGATGAGAGGGGAGAGTCTGAGGAGCTACGTGAACCATCACATGTGTGTCAAAGCCTAATTTAGATCTCACACAAGCCTGGGGGGGCAGAAAAGATGTTCACTGATTAAAGACAATTACATCTATGTAGCCTATGTCCTGGAGGTAGGGAATTCCAAAGCTGCCAAAATAATAAATTAATAAATAGGCTACATAGGGCCTAAATAAATATACGAATGGGGGGTGGAGTCATGATGCATTAGTCAGTCATTCCTATAAAATCGTTAGAGTTGATAAGTGTCATTCAGACATTAAAAATGCTGTCAATAACAAAGTATTTAAAACCATATTTTAATTATTATTGTTATTCAAGATTTTATTATTAAGAAAATCGAACCATCTGTACAGTTCATCAGTGACACAAATTTGCTTAGAAATGGGGCATAGGTTATGATGAAAATAAAGAAGAAATATTTGAGATTCTGCACTTTTATTTTAGTATCATTGAGATACTATCATAGTTTTTATTAGTATTTTGAAAGTTTTTATTTTTATATTTTTCGTTTTCGTTTTAATTTCAGTTGAATTGTTGGATTCTTTAAAAACTTTTTTTTAAATAAATATGTCTATATAGTTTTTATTCATTTTCATTTTAGTTTTAGGTATTTTAGTACATCAAGTTAAAGTAAATTAAAATGAGAAATGCTGCCTTATTTAGGTTTTATATGTTTGTATTTTATTTCAGTTAAAAAGTCATTTTATTTCAAGTAATGAAAATAACCCAGTTGGTCAGTTAGTTAGTTTATCATCAAATGTCAGCTGTGTTTGTATGTTAACTGAAAGTCTATTTTCACTTCCATTTACAGTAATGTTCCTTTTTTTGTTTAGTCCTCACTGTGCAATGCACAATGGGTTAAATCTTTTGCTGCGGCTCTAAAATGGCTTGAAACACCATAGAATGCACGTTGATTTGCTAAAAATAGCACGGAAATAATTAAAGCCATATCACAGATGTGACGTCCATACTGACTCAAATGATATCTATCTGCTGGCTTTGGTTTCTGCTGCGAGAAAGGTCAGAGGGAACTGACATGTTGCACGATGGACTATGAAATGGTGTTGTGGTGTAAACTACTATTTCAAATGTTCAGTTCTCCACAGATTTTCATGGGTAAGTTGGGTTACATTAAATCAATAATATAAGTGTATGACATATGTATTCAGTTAAGATACAAAGCATGCAATCAACCCTGCACCTGATGGTCTAACGGACTAACAATGTGTTTCCTGACTTGTTTATCATTTTTGGCATCAGTTCTTCTAACCCTAATTGATGGAGTGTGTAGCTTTTCATTTCTTAAACAACCATGTTGGAAGACCAATCATGGCCATATTCCAGGATGACAATGTCAAGATTCATCAGGCTCAAACTGTGAAAGAATGAAGAATCATTTTCACACATGAATTGGCACCTCTGAGTCCAGACCTTAAATTCGTTGAAAGTCTTTGCTTTCATGGAGGAGACTTTACAGAGTGCTGGACTCTTGCATTCTATAATAAAATGTTATTTCCACCAAGAGGTGCCTCAATTTTAGGTCAAGATCTTGTATTGACAATGCTAGAATCATAATCACTGCAATAATGATCCAATCATAGACTCTTAAGCATTTTGCCTTTTTAGATCCAAATAGCAATTAAAACAATTTTTTTGTCCAGGCAATGTGTTTGCTAATCAGCTGAAGCGTAGCCTTGCCCAATTGAGCTTCTTAGAATTGCAACTCTGAAAGGACATTGCTGTACCTCTAGAGTGCAAACTCCAGACGACCCACGGCGGCGTACGTGAGAACACCCTCATCCTGTAGTTTAAAGTGTAACCAGCTGCTATTTTCATCTTGAGCTCATGCGAGTGATATGAATCTGAGAGCTGGACATGATATCATTGGTTGCTGTGTGAAAGATGACTGTAAATTAAATGTATCCATCCATATCTTCCGTTCCACCTGCCTTGTGTGGCAAAGATCAATATTTATAGATCAACTTAGTGAGGAAAACAAACAAGTATTTGAGAAACATCTGTAATGTGTATTGTAGGTTACCCCAGATATCCATATCTACTTTAAACAACTGATACATTTTATCCCCCTATTGAAATATGGTTTGACGAGCTGAGACACGTATATGCACACATTGGATCATGCTGTTCCAGCTCAAACATCAATAAAATATTTATAGCATACATGTGTCAAGTGGGTGATAAAGGGAATATTCTTTAGCCTTCTTTTGACATAAGACATTTTTATATTTGCCAACAGCCCTTTAAAAAATTACACTTTTTTAAAATTCAGTAAACGCTTGGTAAAAGCAAAAATAAATATTTTAGTTTGGGACAGTGTTTAAAGGACACCTGGAACAAACAATTTGATATGGGTTAAATCTTTATTACAGAACTATGTTGATCAGCTGATAAGTAAGGAATGGTTCAAAATCAAATAATGTTAATTTATAAATATCTTAAAGATGATTTTAATACAATTTCTATTTTATAACTAACTACTGACATCACTGCCAGAGACAGCATTAGCATTTGTTATTCATGTTAATGTTTACTATACTGATCAAATACATACACATTTACAGTCAAAGGCATCAAAACTTTGGATAACAGAAGAAAAAAAAATGACATCCAAATTGAAAAGAAAAATTAGTTAAAATTCCCCAAAAGTGAAACTTCTTCTCAATCTGAAACATGCTGAATAAATGTTCCAAGTCAATTATAGATAGGGTGTATTTAAGCATTTCCCCCCCCTCCGGTTTATAACCTAAGCGATGAGTCAACAATGACATCATATATCAGTGCAGGTAATGATTTATCACATAACTCGCAAGAGTCTGATAAGGTTTTAGGTCAGCCAAAATAAATCTCTCTAAACTTTATATGTATACAATTAAATATACATTTATATGAAAAAATAGTTATCATCTGAATAAACCACTGTCATGAAACAAAACTAAAGCATCATTTTAAAAAAAAACCAAAAAACAATTCACTATATTTAAAAGGGTACATTTATAGACATGGCAATGTGCTTTTGCAGTAGCAGACTGTGATCTTATATGCCACACACACACATAATTACACATGCCTTTATCACACTCCTCAATGTTGGTATCCTTCAACATACAAGTGTCCTTGTTTGAAGTAATCACAGAAATCATCACATGGTGGTGAACAGTTCAAGAGCAGGTTGTTTTTCAGGCAACCTGATGAGTATGGGAGATGACGTCATTGGACCACTTCAAAATAGTGTAATATCGCCATTATGTGCTGGGGCATGAACACATAACCAGTGTAGACGGCCATCGCTGCCACTGTGATCAGGAGAGAATCTGGTATTCTTATTAAGGAAACTATTTTTGTAGAAGGAAAACGTGACTGACGTTACATTTGTTAATAGATGTTTGGCATTTAGCACAATTTTTCCCAGCTACACACACTAGAGGTTATGGTAGAGTATTGCTTTAAAATGGAGCACTGAAAAAAATGCTTTGAAAGCTTACAAAATGCTACCTAGTTTTTCGTATGACCCATTGGGCTTTATAAATACACAGGCACAATTTATATTAGTTTACAAAACCTGAAGCATTTAAATATAAATGCTTCCGGTATTAAATTGCGTTTTAAAGGTTGATTAGAAACAAGTTCAGTTAAGTGTGTTCAAACTTTTGACAAGTAATAGACCATTTAATGGAATTATATTTGATCAACAGACTACTAATAAAAATGTATTTATTGTTATAAATACGGTTTGTGTTAAGCATGAATTATTTACTGGCTTTAAATTCAAATACAGTAAAAAGAAAAAAAAGTGTAACATTTTGTAGCATTCTTAGTTTCTTACAGTATACAGTAACCTACCAGTCAAAAGTTTGGAAACATTACTATTTTTAATGTTTTTGAAAGAAGACACTTATTCTCATCAACATCAAAGCATTTACTTGATCATAAAATACAGAAAAAAACGTAATATTGTGAAATATTATTTTAATTTTAAAAAATTGGTTTTCTATATTAAAATGTACTTTATCTCTGTGATGTCAAAGTTGAATTTTCAGCATCATTACTCCAATCTTCAGTGTCACATGATCCTTAAGAAATAATTCTAATATGCTGATTTGATACTCAGTTATCATTATCAATGTTGGAAACAGTTGTGCTAATGATGCTGAAATCTCTAACTATATATTGCAAGAAATATTAGCGATGTGCAAACAACACTAACACGCCGCTCTGTATAAGTGTCAGCTGACATTCCTCACGCGACCACATGAAACATTTCTCATTACTGAAAAGGTGTAACTTGGCAAGTGAAACTGGTTACAGTCAGATTTAAGCTCATGTTCCCAGAGTCGTCTTCCTGAAAATCAGGTCATGGTATGTCGGTAATTTTCATTTTAAACGACGTCACACCCACGAGAACTACGTTACATGACTTCTTCAGTTCACAACTTCTAGAAGGTTTGAGAGGTCAGATGAATTTAATTGTAGTCAATGTTGGTTGGTAATGAATCGGTTGGAAATACATAAAATATTTGTATAATATATACAAATATATTGTATATAAAAAAATGTCTTTACCTGAACGTATTAATGAATCGTACGACACAGGTAAGTAAACGATATATTTGTATATATAAAAAATTGTCTTTACCTGAACGTATTAATGATTCGTACGGCACAGGTAAGTAACAGTTAAACGACACACTTGAATAGTAACGTTAAGGAAACAACCTGATACCTTGGGTGGAAGAAAGAACTCTCCTTAAATATTGTCCCTTGCACATATAAAACTCTGTATTTTATGAAAAAAGGATACTGAAGACAGTTCTCTCCCAAGGCTCCAACATATACAGAGCTGTTACAAGCAAATATTGGTAATAAAACCACGATAATTGTTTCCAGGCATCTCCTAACGCCATGTTTCGTCCAATGGTCCCACCGCTCCCTTCCGGTACTACAGATCGTAACAAAATAAAAGCCGTATGCTGAAAAAATCCTGAGTAACAAAATAAAAGTCTCCTAACGCCATGTTTCGTCCAATGGTCCCACCGCTCCCTTCCGGTACTACAGATCGTAACAAAATAAAAGTCCCCACACGTACATAAAACTGAGCGTGATGACGCGCAGCCGTGATTTTTTTATTTATTTTTCTGCATACTTCAAAGATGCCGTCATATTATTTTTAGGAATTTAAGATTTCACTTTATTTCAAGGTGACAGTACATTATGCATAGTTATAAGTAACTGACCACCAAAAAAAAAAACTAAAGTAAGTACATGTAATTAATTTTACTCAGTACCTATTTGAGTAAGTACAATGTAACTACGTCACCTTAAAATAAAAATGAATCCCATTTAATTTTCCATATAACCAAGAGGAAAAAACGTAATGCCTAAATACTTCTTCAACTGTGTAAAAAGGATTAAAAACATGTTCAAGTCATATGTTTAACTTCTGTTTAATTTGAATCCCATGCCCTCTACTGAGTATAAAAATACTATTTAATAAAAGGGAGGAATAGAACAACTTTTATGGAAATATGAAATGCAATTTACATGAAGTGTTAACATTTTACAGCATATAAATCAAATAAAAACCCTATAAATAAAACCACGTCTAACCACATTCTTTACCCGCACAAAAACTTTTAGATTTTTAGATCACTTTGCAGTGAAGTTGCCAGGTGATACACTACATCAAACCAAGCAAAGCCTGTGGTTTGGGATATCCAGTCCAGTAAATGTCCTTAGCAGTAACTTGCTAGGATGTTAAAGAAATGGTACACCTCATCTTTATCATACACAGCCACTTCAGTGGAGCATTCTGTGCACTTGACCGGGTGATACATCTCTTCTTCATCCATTCCTGCCAAACGTGCATCAGTCAGACCAGAGTCGCACTCCATTTCAGCCTCTGCTGGTGCGGACGTGGACTCCTGGCGAGCTTTCTTCCTGTTCCGCTTCTGCTTTCTATTATTGGTGGTTTTATAGCGCAGGACTTCCTCTTTGTCCACAGTGCAGTTCATCACAAACATTGCTCTGTACTGTGTCCGATATTTCTCATGCCTGCGGGTTGAAAAGTATTTTATTGATTCTTCTGTGATAGTTGTGAAATAATATGAAATAACCTTTGCGGTGCGATATGAAATCAAAGAGGCCATACCTCTGACAGTCCAGACACAGGGTGGTCATACAGGCGGGACAGTTGAGGACGGCGTCACTGCTTGGAAGAGCCTGGGCTTTGTTTTTTCTGTTTGCTGACGGAGGTAACCGTCTCTGATATCTGTATCTGTATCAAAAATACAAATAAGCTCTGAACATCACAACCATTTGTCATAATTTTCTAGCGAGTTAAACTCACGATTTTCTTTTTGCATCCACCCAAGCCTGGTCCCGATCATCCTCATCTGGGTCGTATAACAGCTCATCATTTGTTTGCACAGAGCGCTGCTTCCTCCTCCGACCCTGAGAGCTGCCTGATACAGGAGACCATATTCCATATTAACAAATGGTTATTTTTTTTTACCTTTATTTAAGAAATCCAAGCAGCATAAACCATAAATCCACAATAAATCCAAGCAGCATAAATGGAATCCCCCGCCCCAATATAAAATGTAATGCTTTTGAGTTATAGGATTTTATTGTAATACAGCTGTCATAATTATTCAACCCCTATACAACACTTTTGTTTTTAAGTCACTTATTAAGCCTTTGGAAGCCCTATAACAAAACTGAATCATCTTGTGTTGTTACACATACATGCATGTACTAAAGTTGATTAGTAAATATGGCCAAGTCAAAAGAGCTCTCACAAAATCTATAGAGAACAAATAGTTTTATTACGTTAGAAAGTCTATGGCTACAAGAAGATTTTTCCAAAACCCTAAAAGTTCAAGACACCACTGGCAGCCTTATTCATAAGTTTATCATTGAGGGGAATAAAATGTTTGATCAGAGCAACTGATTAAAACCCTCAAAAAGACTTGCAAGATGACCTGATAAAAGGAGGAAAACGCATTTCAATGCTGAGAATAAGAAGTACTACCAGTCTCTGATGCAGAAAAGTTAGTTCATGCATTCATGACCTCGAGACTAGATTACTGTAATGCTTTATTATCTGGTTGTCCTGCATCTTCAATAAACAAGCTACAGTTAGTAAAAAAAACAGCCGCTAGAGTTCTTACTAGATCAAGAAAATATGATCATATAACACCGATTCTATCATCACTTCATTGGTGACCTATAAAGTTCCGTATTAATTACAAGGTCTTGCTTTTGACTTATAAAGCTCTAAATGGTTTAGCTCCAGTCTATTTAACGGATCTTCTATCGCCCTATAATCCATAGCGCTCTTTAAGATCACTAAATTCGAGGCTTCTGGTCATTCCTAGGATATCCAGATCCACCAAAGGAGGGAGAGCATTTTCACATTTAGCTCCGAAGCTCTGGAATAGCCTTCCTGATATTGTTCGTTGCTCAGACTCGTTCTCCCAGTTTAAAACTAGACTAAAGACGCATCTATTTAGCCAGGCATTCATATACATTTTTTATCTTACAGTTACTGTAAATTCGGCCTCTACTTCATAAACGCCAGAGGAGAACTGGCCCCGACTGAGCCTGGGTTCTCCCAAGGTTTTTTTTTTTTTCTCCATTGGGTCATCTGATGGAGTTTTTCGGTTCCTTGCCACTGTTGCCTTTGGCTTGCTCAGTTGGGGATATTAAAATTAAATGACCCATCATACCACTGATCAGCTCTACCAAACTTGGATGTCTTTTCCAGTAATAAACAAACACTGTTAATTTGTTTTGATTGATACTGTGAAGCAGCTTTGATACAATCTGTATTGGAAAAAGCATTATATAAATATATTTGACTTGACAAGCATGGCCTTCATGTTGGGACATCTTGCCGTGTGCAATTTTTGATCAAGAAGAACATAAAAGGCTGACTTAAATATGCTAAAATTAATTTGGGTAGACCTGTGGAGTTCTGGAAAAATATTTTATGGAATGATGTGACCAAACTGGAACTTTCTGGACCAATGGATCAGCGGTATGTCTGGTGCAAAAAAAAGGGCAAAGCTTCTGAGCAGAAGAACACCATCTCCATGGTCAAACAAGAGGTTGTTATGGGGTGCTCTGCTGTTGCAGGAAGTGGAAATCTTGACTGTACGAAGGGCATCATGAAATCTTTGAAGTATCATGCCATTTTGGCAAAGATGGTAATGCAGACTCTAAAGCTTGAGGATCAGTGGACTTTGCTGCAGGAAAAGTATCCCAAAGTATACATCCAAATCTACTGAAGCTTGGATCAGTCTATGTTCTTGAGTGGCCTGTCTCATTGAAAATATTTGGTGGAATTTGAAGAGAGCAGTGGTAACGTGAAAACCAAAGATTATTAGTGACCTGAAAGCTTTTTCAAGCTAGGAATGGGCCAAGATTAGAAGAGAGGTGACAGGAGCATCTAAGCACTTACTGGCAAGCATTGGTTATAAAGAATAAAAGATTATGCACAAAACTTGAGGGGTATTGAGGGTTGAATAGTTTTGTACATGAATGTTCAAAAACAATAAGATTTTTTTTTCTCCCTTTTTCATCAACTTTATGTTCTCAGAATCACTCAAATGTGTATTAATACACTTTCTATAATAGTTTACTGATGCCTTTGTTGAATTGTTTTCATAAATTTTGTTCTCAGCAGCAAAATGGCTTGCAGGTCAAGGGGGTTGAATAATTTTGATTGCAACTATATAGTGCTGTCTTGAGCATTTTCAGGTAGTGTCACCAAGATCTGACTTTTTTGCAATGGAAAACATTTACAGAGTAAATGTCATAATGAAAACATGACAAAGCCATTTGACTATCTTGTTCATAAACAATGGTGTCAGGACTTTTCATCTTGATGACACTGACATGAATACTTGCTTTTGAGGAATGAGCAATCCATTTTGAGCAAGTGACACGCTTTTGCAGGTTATCAACTAGGTTTTGCAGTTTGTACTAATTGTTTTGAGAACTACATTAACTGTTGTGCAAATGTAAATAGTGATGTGAAATGCACCAAAGCGACTGAGAAAAACTGTAATATTAATTGTTTTGAAGTGAACATCCTTTGTTTTATGCAATAAAAGATATGAAAGAAAAAAACCAGAGAAACTTTGATAGTGGCCGTTTATGAACACGTCTTGAACACATCTGGAATAAAACATTTCTTTTAAGAGGAAGATATTATTTTGTAATTATTAGTGATCTGAAAACGCTATTCTTTTTGCTTTTTGAATAATTACCAGCTGTCTCATCATCATCCGAGTCTGAGTCAAAGTAAATGCTGTCATACTCCTGGATCGGTTGTTTGTTTGCTGTGGAAGTGTTGTCACTGGTCCCAGATGTTTGACCTGCAACTTAAATATTAAATCAAAATTTATTTGAGGTTATTTACTGTTGTAATTGTTATATTTAAAGAGCAAAATGCATGCGTGTTTGTGACACCTTGAGTTGCAGATGCTGTCCAGCTGCCCTCCAGGCTCTTCATGGTGCTGCTGAGCTCTGCCTCCATCTCCTTCTCAAAGTCATCTCCACTGGAGGACTCGCTCTCCCCCGTCAGATACTCTCTGATCAGCTTCTTCTTCTGATCCGGAGTCCCGTTGAGGAGAATATCCAGCTCATCCTCAGAACTGAGAAAAACGAGCAGAAAACACTGATCTGTCTCTCAGTCTGATCTCCATCTATCAAGAGCACTTCAAAGAGCGTTAAGCATGTATATATAATCATGTTGATGATGTTCACATTTGTTTGTTTACATGTGTACACATACGAGATTAATGTTTTCTGTTACGTACCATATATAATCTAGTTGATGATGTTCACATTTGTTTGTTTACATGTATAAGTTACACATACGAGATATTTAAATGAATGTTTTCTGTTACGTACCTGCTTAGGGCTCCTTCCTCGTCACTTGGCTCTTCAATCTCATATGAATCATAATCATCTTTTCGATTCATTTTTTCGAGTAAAAACAGCGCAAATAAAACGTGTTTTTGCTTTACTCATATAACTTTACAAACGCCTCACACACAGGAAGCCAGTTATAGACTATTTCCGGGTCACGCTTTTTACTTTAAAAATAAAGCTGTCAAAATAAAAGCCACTAAAATATACAAATATTTATATTAATTATTTAAATATATCAGATTACTATTATTAGGGCGATAAATTGCTGTAAATGTATTTTAATCTTGTAATTTTAGGCTATTTAATGTTAAGGTTTTTTTAAGGGGCAGATGGATTCTATTAAAGAAATCCCATTGTATATGATCAAAAAGCGAGCACTGCCTTTATTTCCCGACCATCAGTTTTTGTGTTCAGATTGAAAAAAAAAAATCTCTCTTTAAGTAAACAGCATCATTTTTTTTTTTTTTTTTTTTTTCATGGTCATTTTATCATTTTTCACCAGCGTTTATGTCAGCATTCCTCCATCTGAATAAACGGAAGCTTTGGTCACATATTGTGAATAAGAAAACAACATTCATATACAGTGCACTTAAAAAAAAATCTGGAGAAAAAAATGCATTCATGTATAATAATTTTTTTTTTAACAATATCATATTAATCTACATTTTAAGGCAAACATACTGAAGCATTATTTGTTAGGAATGAAAAATGAGAAAATGCAGAAAATTAGTTTGATTACGATGATCCATAGCTATACGATGAAAACTTACACATGTACAAGGCTTTGAGTGACCATACACTTTAATTGTAATAACAATCAGCTCAACTTGAACAAGATATCTGAGCAGCATCCACACACAGATCACCAAAACTTAACTTTAAAGATTACAACAGGAAAAACAAAAACAAGCGAAACGAAACAGAAAAACAACCTGGACAAAAATTACAGAAACGAGAGTGAAGTAGTGAAAAACAATTAACAATCAAAAGTTAAAAATGCGTGATTAAATGAAGTCGTATATCTTGTGCTGTGTGGACCGGTTGATCTTCCACAGTGGACTGCCTCACTTTTAGGGGGGGGGGTGTGGAGGGAGTATGGTGTCTCTGGTAGTGGTAAGTACAGACGTCTCTTTAGACAAACTGACCCCAGGTATGCTCTCTCCTCCATCTTCCGAATGAAGACGAGACCAAAGCAGGGAAAGCCCTATATGGAGAACCTGGTTCAAGGACCTAAGTGTCCCCTTTCAGGACCCCCAAACAGCTCTGCAGCAACTGTAGATTCCCCTGGAGAGAGATCAGGGCATATCATCAATAAATCATCCATGGATCTGAAATCATTGATGCATCACAGTATAAAGCAAATGGAAACCTTGGCATGTTTGAGTTCCAGCTCGGCCAGTTCCACCAAGTTCTTTCTGAATGCTGCTACTCGCCTTGTCTTGAAATCTATCAGTTCTAAATGGAAATCAAGCATAGGACAACGATCATGAATATTTAGTAACCAAATAGCCGTTTAGCATATGCTTTTATCCAAACTAACTTCCAGTAATCTTTATATTGAAAAATCATCTTAGGTTAATAGCAGTTTGCCACTTGAGAACATTTCCACAACACAATGACAAAACAATTTTCTCTGTCCAAAATAAATGCAAAACTTCTGTGTGAAGTAGGGCTGCACGATTTGGAGAAAATATCTGCAAAAAAATCTGGCCCACATTTTGTCTTTTGTATTTTGGTGGAAAACAGCAGGGAGCTCATAAAGTCAGCATGAGATAAAATTCAACCCATCTAAATGCATATTATAGGTCTTATAGTGAACAATTCATCCATGCTTTTATAATGTTTAATCAAAAAACAGTTTAAGCCCCAATCCTGCAAGCTCACGTTCATCAGCCTTCACTTTTGAGTGCAATGTCCACATTTCAAAATCCGATCAACAACCGATTCATGCAACCTAGTCCCCACCCCGCCCTACATTTATTCTTTGTGGTAATCCCTCAGATGAATGCCACCATACAAAAGAAAAACCAACTGTCGTTACTTCCAGTTTATCGCAACTTTAAAGCTTCTCTTTTGTTGACAACAGCCACTTTATAAGTGCTCTGAGACTCTGAAAACAACATCATGCTAATGCCAAATGTTGGTTTCAATGGTGCCAACAGTGCAAATCTTGGGCTGTGGACAATGTGAAATGTACTGTTCTCTGATGAGTCCACTTTTACTGTCTTTCCCAGATCAGTGGGAGTTACTGTGTGGAGAAGCCCTAAAGAGGTTTAACCCCTGGACCGTTGCTGCCCAGAGTGAAGCACAGGAGTGGATCAGTGATGGTTTGGGCTGCAATATCATGACATTCCCTACTGTGCTTGATGGACGCTACCGAACCATTCTGGAGGACCATTGTTCAAACATTGTACCCTGAAGGAGGTGCCGCATGGGCATCAGTTTGGTTTGAAATGTGCTGGGGACAGAGACGCATTCGGAAGTGCATTTTCAAAAGTACTGGGTACAATGACACATTATTATTTTTTCTCTTTCGCGCAGGTCATGTTTTGAAAGACAATGTCCTATAGCTTAGACCTACTGATGTAAATAAATAAAAATGTATACAAAGATGTGATGTCCGACCAAAAATGTGATGGGTGGGGGGGGGGTTAAATAGTAGGCTACTTTGGGTTTAATTGGTCGTAGAATGAGATCTAATATGTTGTTAGTGTCATGAATTTTCACGTGAATAAATACATAGATCAGCCTAATGCAAGCCTATGTATGTACTGTAATGGTCCAGTGGCAGAATTTTTGCCAAGCGTGTCGGAGGTTCTGGGTTCTAATCCGCACTCGAATAGTTTTTTTTCCACTCATAAAAACCGATAATGTTTATCAGTGGTTGTATATCGCAGGGACGCGTTTGTTTGCATTTTGTTTCGCAATTTCACCGGAACGAATAGAGAATCTCCGCAACGGATTGAAGCGCGCGTCCGAGTGAAGACATTGCGGCGCGTGCGCGAGCCACAACAGGACACTGTATCCGCGCCACTGATCGCAGAGGCAACGAGCACATGATCACTTGATTATAAAAACAACACATGTTAGCGCTAGATCCAAGGGGGTAATCCATCGACCGGAAGTTGAAGCCGGCCGGGTGCCGCCATGTTGTAGCAGAACTTCACTTGCGTTAACATTTCCATTGACTCCCATTCATTTTGGCGTCACTTTGACAGCGAATAACTTTACATCTGAGGCGTTTAAAGACTCCATTTGTCCATTATTTATTTCTAAAGAAACACGACAATGTATAAAGGGCTCCATTACCTTCTATAGCCGCGTTTCCACCGCAATTACCAGGAACTATTTGTCCCAGGAACTTTTTTCATAGGAACTTTTTTTGCCCCAGAACGGTTGCTCACTGCGTTTACACCGTGGAGTAAAGTACCGGGAAGATTAGTCTGGTGACGTTGAACTGCGTGCGACTGCTCCTCCCAGTCTGCGCGTACTTGTTTTGAGTTTTAAGTATTGAGGAGATTCAAGCTGTGCTGCTTTTGTGTGCGATCTATTGGTTTACTAAGGAGGTATTTAACAAAATGGCAGAAAAGAGACGAAAACTAATACCAAAGCGTATTCATTTCAGAAAGCTCGTAATGCTAGATATAAAAGTAGACAACGTTTGTTATCAGCTATAGCGGACATGACCGTGAGATGGATGGGACGAACGCGCGCCATCCGGCAGAGAGAACAAGGTAAAATAACCAATCAGCATGTTCAGCGCACAAGTCCCACCCCGAAAGTTCCTGAACTCTGAAAAAGTACTACCTCGCCAGCAGGGACTTTCTGGGGGGGACATTTTTACCCGGAACTTCATTTAGATCCTGGTTCCTGCAGTGTAAACACATGGAGTACCACCCCAAAGTTCCTAGTTCCTGGGGAAAGTTCCTGCGGTGGAAACGCGGCTTATGTTACATTATGGCCCCGTAGAAACAGATTTAGTAAAAATAGGCTAACGATTGCGTCATAACCACTCGACTCTCTGTTGCGCTGTAAAGAAATGACCGTACAGACAGGAGGAGAAGCTCGCAGGCAATCAGGGGGACGTCCCGTCAAGGGAGAAGCCCATAGATAATGAGTCCATAAAAGCAACGGAATTCTTACTCCTGCTCACTCACGCCAAAGAACTCTTTGCTTAAGTTCCCCGTCTCTGCAAGATTAATGTTGGCAATTTTCACGCACAGCTACTAGAAGATTTACGTCTGTCAGACAGGTTGCTCACGTCATCAAGCTTAGTTTGAGTCGGTTTGAGTCTGCGCGTCAGGAACGGAAGTGCTCAAAAATCGCTAAAAATGGGCTTCAACTGTCTCAACTGAGTTCCAATGAGATGGCTCTGTCCACTTCTTATACTGTCTATGGCTAGATCGCCTCTTATTTTAACAAACGAACGAAACGAATGCTCTGCTAGTTAACTAGAGATGTTTTACTTGTATTGGTACATCCGTACCGCTAGATGTTTCAAAAGTGGTGGGGACAAAATCAACCCTGGCAAATAGTGGTGGGGACATGTCCCCCCCGTAAATGACGCCTATGGGGTGCCGTGTATCAGTGTGATAATGCACCAATACACACAGCAAGACTTGTGACAGAATGGTTTGATGAACATGAAAGTGAAGTTAAACATCTCCCATGACCTGTACAGTCACTAAATCTTAATACTTTTGAGCCACTTTGAGGCGTTTTGGAGGAGCGAGTCAGAAAACGTTTTCCTCCACCCGATTCACAGTGACCTGACCGCTGTTCTGGAAGAGGAATGGCTCAAAATCCCTCCGGCCACTGTGAAGGACTTCTATCTGTCATTCCCAAGATGAACTGATGCTGTTTGGCCGCAAAAGGAGGCCCTACACCATAATAATCAATTATTGAGGTCTAAAACCAGGTGTTTCAGTTTCATTGTCCAACACCTGTATATTAAATTAGATTGTAGCCGTCGCAATTTGATAGTAGAACAACTCCAAATCTCAATTAGTGTGAATTGACAATCAGAAGTGATCTTTAAAATGTGCAGATCTGTGGAGCCAGGTTTTGGACCAATGAGATTTAATTAGTACCTTGTTTTGCAGATTCAGA